TTTTTTTTTTACTGTGAAACTTGTTAACTATGACATATTGCTTGCTTTGCTCCTCATTTGTAAGTCGCTTTTGGTGAAAGTATCTGCAAAAATGAAAAAATGTTGCATACAGCTTCACCTCCATATGTGCTGCATTTTTCTGCAGAAGCATTATTAATGCAGACATGGCACAGAACGATGCGATGCATGACGATGACCTTGCGAAATCAGGGGAAGCATTGATTGAGTTCATCAAGAGCAGTAAGGCAGAGAGCGCTCTTCGAGGAGCGAGAGAGAACCTGCAGGAGTTCTTTGACCACCACATCAAGACCAAGAAGACCACAACCGAGCTCTTAAATGGTATTCCTTTACTACTAATGCTAACTTTGAGCTTACTAATTAATATAAACGTACAAAATGCAATGATAAAAGCTAAATACTTCTTTCTGTGTTGTCTTCTTTTTAAGGTCTTGTACATGCCGAGGAAGAGGTCGGTCAGAAACTTCTGGATTTAGAGCGGCAGAAGAGCCAAATGGCGCAGGAGATCGAGAGGATGGAGCAGGAAGTACAGCGGAGCCTCTCCAAAAGCCAAATCCTGGACTCCGAGCAGGAGTATCCTTCAGTATGATGTTTCCCCTCAGACCTGAACCAGAACCTGCTCTCATTATAATAACTGGCCTGAATCAGGATCAGAATGAGCTTTATTCGCAAGTGTGTGCGCAAACACACAAGGAATTTGTTGTGGTTTCCTGGAGCTCTGGGTACATACATGCAAACATACATATAACACAAGAGAATACAAAGAACATTTAAATTACAATTAAACTACTAACCCTAATATAAAAAATAAATACATTAAAAACAATGAAGTAATATACATCAAGATCAGTAGGTTAATGTACAGATGTGTGCATTTATGTACTGTATATACAACTTTTAGTAAAATTTCAGTGCGAGGCACACAAATTTGCAGATTGTAAAAAATGTTTTAAAGGTGACATATCATGAAAATCTGACTTTTCCAGG